TGTTGGAGGTGACAGCATTTCCATAACACGTCTTCTCTGCATGTGCACTGTTTTATGCACTTACTGCATTATTTTCTTCTCTTAATTGTCACGTACGCCCCTCCATATGGCACAGCAGCATTTGGCCTAGAGCTATGTGATGAAGGAACACCCAAGTGAGCTGTTTTGTTTCCATTTTTGCAGTAGAATTTTTTAGCACATTATAAACTATCTGATAATGTTACTGCTCTGGTAAAAGAAAGACCTTCAGCAGTATGATTCAGAGAGGATGTGAGATGAGACTGACCTCTGTCCTGATTCTCCATTGAAAACATCCAAAAGTTGAGATGCTTAGTCATGCATTACCTGAACTATTTGAACCTCTCAGATCTGCAAAATGGGCCTGGAGGATCTCAAAGGACCAGCCATTTATGATATTTCTGGCCCAATGGAATTAAGGGGCATTTTTTCTCCTTTTCCCACCCCTGCATGCCAGGCCTAAACAGCTTAATTTATTATGGGGTTCTTGGGACAAAAATCCTCCCCCAAGTTGTGGAGCAGCTGCTCAGTTCCTTACAGTTGCTACCTTCAACCTGGTACAGCCACAGTAGTGTCCTCGGAATTTGCATTCCCCTTCTTTAAAAAAGGAGAGTACATTTGTGGATCAGCCAGCCTCACTGGCAAATCATCACTCACAGGAACACCTCCCACCCCCACCCCGAAGCTGAGTTTACCTGTAAACACGGTGTGAATGGGCGCCTCTTATCCTGACCACTCCTATGCAAGCACGGGGGAATTGTGTTAGTTCCACAGTGGCCTGGGTTCCCACAGATGTATAGGAGATGGCAGGATTTGCCTTCCAGTGAAGTGTTTCTTCACAGAAACAGGAGAAGTTTATACTGCTAAAGGACTCACCACATCACTTCCTGTATCCTATCAGTCATTGATATGGAGTTTATTGATCATGCCCCTTTCACCCTGGAAGTAGAGACAAGGCCTCGTTTTACATCAAGCCATCTGAAGGCGGTGTGGGATAGGACTCTAAAACGTCATGTCTTCTTGCAATTGTGGTAAGACCAGCTCCTGATGGAAGAAATATAGGAAAACTGGGATTCAGCACTACCTCCTTATTCCCACCTCACAGAATGGTGGCAACTTCTTTTCTCCTCTTCCCACTCATTCTCCCCTCCCTCAAAGTTCGATTCTCTTTCCCATCTTGTTCTACATTCACACAGCCTTGTGACAAGATAATTTCTTAACAAAGTATAAGGTATAATTTGTATGTTGATGACATGCAGTTGGCCATCTAGTCTCATTGACCATGAGGGTCTGGTTTCTGCTCTGGAGGTATGCTTGGATGCATTAAAACTATTTTTTCTTTAACTTTTGGAATACAGAAAACATAGGTAGAGATTGTTATGAAGATACTTCAGCTTTTTTTGGTGTTCCTTTTGGTTTAGAAGACTTGAAGGTTGCAACTAAAGCTGGGCAAACAATTCAAACTAACAGTTTATTCCTTGGACTGAGCCTTTCTCCTCATTTGCATATTGTTCCTCAGAGACTGGGAAGCAAATTTCAGCCTATGAATTGCTCAGTTTGTTCACTGCAATTATTCCTCTGAGAGTTTGATATTCACAATTTGTTTTCATGGCTGGGAAAACAGGTAAATAAGTCACATGTTATTGCTGCTCTTCCCTGATTGGATGGCCTCATGTCTATCAACAATTTCTTTCTGAACAGAATTACTTTTTTGATAATTAAACGAATCTTGGTTACAGTTCCAGAATTCACTTTCCATGGATGTAGGAACAAAATTAGAAAGGCCAAAGCACAAAATGAGATTAAACTAACTAGAGACATAAAGGGTAACAAAAAATGTTCTACAAATCCATTAGAAACAAGAGAAAGACCAACGATGGGGCAAGCCTGTTTCTCGGTGGGACGGGACGACGACAACAATAACAGAAAATGTGGAAATGGCAGAAAAGCTAAATAACTTGTTTGTTTGTTTGTTTTCACCAAAAAGCTTAGTAACAATTGGACAGCTAACTTAATGAATGTCAGTGAAAATGAGGTAGGATCGGAGGCTAAACAACACGTTAAAAATTACTTAAACAAGTTTGTGTTCAAGTCATCAGGGCCTAATGAAATACATCCTAGAATACTCAAGGAGCTGACTGAGGAGATATTTGATTAACGTGTAACAGCTGTACAGGGCATAGTGCAACCACGAAGTTGATTACTGTAATGAAATGCAAAGGGATCTTGCGTTTACTGTGGATGACCTATGTTGATCCCGTGTTATTACAAACAACCTCTTTCTTTGATTTTTTCCCCTTCTACCATGAAAATTGGAATAGTTGTATCGAGATTAAATCTATTTAATTTTGTACAATTAGCAATGAACGAAGCACCTTGATGAAGGTAATGGCAGGATATTTTAGAAATAAAATTATTTTAAGATAATTATGAAACTGTAGCATCTCTGACATCATATACCTTAGTCTTGAACTGAAACTTTTTTACCATTGTGTAAGGAATCTGCAGCCTTATCCATTTCCTTATCCATCTTTCATTTCCTTTTTGCTTTTTTCACTGCCTGAATACACAGAAAATAACAGTTCTTATTAAAACAATGGAAAAGAAGGCATTCTAATAGCATCTATGTGTTTTTGATGTTCCAATGATTTATTATTTGCAGATCCATTTCAAATCTCTGAAGTTCGAGGCACTGATTTATTCTTTCAGTATCATATCATCTGGCTTTTCAATCGGCACAACATAGTCCTGATCTTCTTTGTAAATAGCGTGTCTGCATGAAAGAAAACTGTGTTCACTTTCCATAGATATTCATATAATAAAGATTTTACTGGTACAAATATTTGTAGAAACCAAATTTCAAATCTGAATTTGGAAATATTTACGGGAAAAGAACGTTCAATTTACATATTTGAAAACTTGCTCCAAAGATGGTTGCATGTTCATTCACTCAGAAAACAGAAACAATACCATATAACTTCTCTGAAGAATCATAATTAAAGCAACGCAACTCAAATGTTTAAATATTGATGTCAAATACTCATGAGCTTTCCATGGTTAAATCAGAAATAGATTTTTAATTTGGGGAATAAATACTGTTGCCCCTTTTTGACCCAAATGGCTAGTCAAAGCTTAGGCCATGGTGGTGTGTCATTTGGAAGTAGAAACTGATAGTCTGGTATTTTCTTTGATGGATTCTTCTTTATTACAACCAATGTATAAAGTCCTGTTCCTCCAAATGCAGGAGGAAACAAAACAGGTTCTTAACTTACAGCCCCAGAGCATCTCAAGACAACACCAGACCCAAAAGTGCTCTCTTTAGGTTTTATTCCAGAGTCATGCTGTCAAAGACAAGGACATGCGTGGTTGGGTGTAGTGGTTAGAGCAGGAATGAGTAGGCCAGGAATAGACACCCACTGTCAGAGTTGGAGTCAGAACCACAGTCAGAAATTGGAGCTGAGGGTCAGAGCTGGGTTATAGGGAGCAATGCAAGTCAGGCGCAGGGTTGCAGTTCAGCCACTCCATGGGCCCTGCTTCAGGCCATTATTGAGCCATGCTCCTTACACAGACTATCTACCATATATCAGAGGGGTAGCCGTGTTAGCCTGGATCTGTAAAAAGCAACAGAGAGTCCTGTGGCACCTTTAAGACTAACAGATGTATTGGAGCATAAGCTTTCGTGGGTGTGCATCTGACAAAGTGGGTATTCACCCACGAAAGCTTATGCTCCAATACATCTGTTAGTCTTAAAGGTGCCACAGGACTCTCTGAGTGTAATATATATATATCATATGCATATGATACAGTGTTAATTAATACATGTATTACTAATAAATGTGGCGTTTTGCCTTATTCCCCCTGAAAAGATTCTGTGCAGTACTTTAAGTACAACAAAGATAAAGAGACATGCTTGTCTAGTAAAAGGGATGTTTTCTTGATAGGATAAGAAGGAAGGCGGAAATAGAACGAATATACCAAACTAAAGGTAAGAATTATAAAAACAACTCTTACAGCTGAGCAGATTTTTCTTTAAAACTCAGGGCACCACAGAAGTACGTATAAGAGCAACAGTGAAGCCACACCATTTTTCACTCCATTTATCAGGATTTCAAGGGTGAAGCAATAATACATATTGTACAATGTGTGCTCAATTGTATGATTAAAAGTTACAACAACAAAAATCATTACTGACCAGTTTTTGCTAAGACTTGTGGCATTGGTTGTATAATATACACTATCATTTCTTTCATACATTTATTATTCCCTTTGCTTAAAGTGACACGTACTGATGAAAGCCTTAGTGTTCAGCTGCATGGCCTTGCTCGTGCTGGCTACAGGCAGCAAACCATTTGCCAGCACCCTGGAACAGAGTTGTAGGTTTAGAACAAACAGTTTTCCCTCTCGCCATTAAACATTGGTAAAGGATACAGGATTTGCAGTAAAAATCATTTAAAATACAAGCTAATAATATATTGGCAAAATTCTGATTTAATCTGAGTGAACATATATTAGCTATTGTTGCTTTGAAATGCTTCTTAATATACCTTTAAGAGAAAATCTTTAGCTCTCAGAAACAGCTCTTCAGATTCACTGGTCTTGCCTGTATCCTTCAGAAAATTAGCAGCATAGCATATTTGTGATGGACTCCCCGGGGTGCAACCTGAAACTGGGATACCACTGAGCCCGCTGGCTTACCAACCTGGGGTCCCTCTCACACTGTGATGCTGTGACAAACTACACAAACCTCTCCAGGTACTGCACGTAACAGAGACCTCCACAGTCAGGGACACACCCCACTGTGTTACATGAATGCTCTTGCAAGCCAGTCATGAACCAACAATAGAGAGGCTCCAGCCAATTCCCCACAGCTCCCCAGCCTAGGATCCCACAGCTCTACCATCTTGCCCTGGTCAGACGCATGACCAGTGTAAGTTTATTACCCAGTCCGCCCCTCCCTCAATGTGGAGAGGACATGCCCCAGTTTTTGTTCCTGAGCAGATTCCCCAAGCAAAACACTCTGTTTTAGGTAAAATATAAAACAGATTTATTACCTACAGAAAGACAGATTTTAAGTGATGATAAGTGGTAAATATACAGATCAAAGTTGATTACCCAAGAAATAAAAGTAAAATCACAATTTGAGTTCTATAAACTAGTCAGGATTTGAATCAAGCAGTGTCTCACCCTGATGGTATAGTTCCTTCCTGGAAAGATTCTTTGCTATATGGGTATGTCTACACTAGCAGAGTTACAGCACCAGCAGCTACAGCGCTGCTCAGAGAGCACTGAAGGGAAACCACTGTTGTGCCTTGACTTTCCCAGGTTTTCATACACAGGCTAAAGATCTTAGCGTGGGACCACCACTTCTCACAGTTCAGTTTTTGTTCCCCCGGTGTTTTCAGGTGTGTTGTTGTAGGGAGAGTGAGGACTCCTCATGTTGTCATTGTCCCTCTTTTATATCTTCCCTCCACTTGCTGGAAAGCTTTTTTGCTGTGACCTGGGTATAGAGCCATTGTATAGAGCTATTTCTGAGAGGTTTCTATTGCACACAGTTCCTGGGGTAATCCTTATGCTTATGTGCATTTTTTCAATAAGACACTAACATTGTTTGGCCTCATCCAAGGTAGCACATTTAAAATACAGACTTGGTCAATATTCCCATCTTCAGATAAAAAATGATATATGCATACAAATTGGATAAACACATTCAGTAAATCATAACCTTTCCAATGATTCCTTACATGAGTCATCTTGCATAAAGTACATCTCAGTTATGTCATATCCATATCATAAGCATATTTCCATAAAGAATATGGAGTGTAATGTCACAAAGATTACCTAAGATTTGAGAGAAAGTCACACAAATCTTTCCAGTTGCCACTCATTGTCATATGCCATGGTAACTCTTGATACACTCTCCAAAAATTGCTTTGCTGTTGGAAGTAGTGAGTAAAGATTCAATGTAAATGTGTCTTTTTGTTCAGGGAGTTCTGAAAAGAATTTAGGGTGCTTTCTTTGATGGGCGTGAGCATACCTAGTTACAAAAATAATCACATTTTAACCCTTTATTAGTCTTTTACACTAGAGATATGTGCATAATCCCGCAGTTGCAGTACCCTTTTCCTTTGCAGTGCCACTTTTCTATTATTCTTCCCCTTTTCTACACGGACTACTTCTGAGGATACAGTCAAATATATACAACTTCATTTTTTAGTTTAAGGATTCTTTCAAGATAACACTCTTGTTCCATTTAGTTAGCATTTTCAAATGCACCTGTGCTGACTGGTTTACAGTAATTTAAAAGCAAGTGATTATATAACACTCAGTTGTACCTTGAAGGGATTGGCCTGCCTTTAAAGCACTGCAGATTTGCCAAGCCCCAGCAGGAACTCCAGGAATCATTGTGTTGAGAGAGTCCTGAGTACGAGCCTCAGGACTGGCTCTGACCATCCCAAAAGGAGAAGGTTGAAGGAGTTTTGCCTAAATAAGATTTGCAGACTCTGATCCTGTTTAAGCAACAACACATTCTGCTGAAACTCCAACCTGATCTTGCCCTGTAAACATTGCATCCCTTTAGTACATATGGCCAGTTTGGCCTCCTCCAGCTTGCAGATCCCAAAAAAGGTAGGGAAATTAAAGACAGGCATTTCAGCCAAAACACAGAAGTTCTAGCTGAAGTAAATCATAAACTAAAATTGGTACATTCATGTTTTAAATGATTTTCAAGTGACAACATCTAGGGAAAGCACTTACTATAAAAGTATTGTATGACAGTTCAAAGCTTTAAAAAAACATCAAACATCACAGTTTGAGAAACTCAGATTCCCTGGATGCAGTCTGTTTTTTCTTGAACAATTTGCCCACTACATCTTATTACACCTGATCTTACTTGTCAAGCAGCTAATGCTCTCTGGCTTCTTGTAAGGCCTGTGACTTAAGTGCAATAGGCCATCAGGTTTTTCCTGGATCTACTTTGAGGCAGAATTATGAAATGCTGCCCAGTGACATAGAGTTACTTTATATTCATCTGCACAGCCCAGAATGTTCAAAAGGTGCAGGATCTCATTGTCAGCCAGCCCACAACAAGAAGCACCTAGTAAGCACAAAGCATCTGCCACGCAGCCTTTTATCCCTAAAAAGGACAAAAAGAAATGTAGTTAACCTGGACAGCATTTAAAATACTATTTAGTACAACTTAAGCACTGGTAATTGTTCTAAAATCTCTTTGTGAATGTGTTTTCTTGAATTTTGTTGTATTAAAAAAGTAGGATCAGGACATGAAGCTTGCTACAAAGCTGCGGATCTACAGAACTGTTGTTTAGCAACTCTGTTGTATGACAATGAATTGTGAGGGCTAGGAAAGGCTGAAGAGCACTGAATTTATTATTTTTATTCTTGTCATATTCATCAACATTAAGTGGCAGGACAAGATCAGAAGTGAGGATATTCGAAGCCAAACCAGCAACCACCTCTACCAGCACTGATTCGATTTCACCAGCTTTGTATGGACATATTAAGAGGGAAGACCAACAAATTCCAAAGTGTGTTTGCAAAGGAATGCTGCTACACCACTGGCAATCATGTGGTTAACGAGGCTTTTGTGGAATGATAAGATCTATTTATGCAATGGCTATATGACTAATCAGCTTTCAGGCTTGATTCTCCACTGCCTTGCACTTTGTGGAGTCATTTACACCCATATAAATTCTGTGCAAATCAGTATGGTAGCTTTTTATATCCACTTTGCATATGTTAAGGACTGTGCAAGTGCAAGCCCGTCAGGAATCAGCCCCTTCACTTTTTAATTACCTTTTTGTTTAAAGACTTAATTTTGAAACCACTATTGCAGCAGATTGGAAACTGGCTCTGTCTCTTCCATAAGGTTCCCAGTGCCACATATGTCACATTTCAGCAGGACACCAACAGCCAGAAATAGGATCAGAAATGTCAATTGTAACTAAAATTGTAAGCCAAATTCTGTTGTTGAACCACTTGGCCATAAAGACAGGCACGGTGACATACTGCAAATGCAGCAATAGTATATGTCCAAATAACAGCATGTAGCTATGTGATGGGGTGTACAGATCCCACACTGGAAAGCAAGGATTAAGGAACAGCTCTGGGCCCAGGCAGCCCCACTCAGCCACACTGGCTACAAAGCCTCCACAAGCTGAAAGTGGGGCTTAAAATGGGAAGCAGAGCAGCTCAGAGGCAGGCAACTGAAGGGAGCAGAGGACTGCTCTGAGAGCAAGTTCTGCCCAGGAGACCATTGCCTGAGACCTGACAATGCAGACCTGAGCAAACCTACAAAGGAGAGGCAGGTGACTGATTGATTGTGCAGGTCATAGACTTTATTTGAGATTATTTGATTCACTCTGTGGAGAGAAGGAGACATGGATAGGAAGTCATCCAGAGGGTGGCTGCTTCATACCCAGGGGCGGCTCCATGCACCAGCGCAGCAAGCGCATGCCTGGGGCGGCAACCCGCGGGGGGCGGCGTGCCGGTCGCCATGAGGGCGGCATTCAGGCAGCCTTTGGCGACATGCCTGCAGGAGGTCCGCCGGTCCCGCGGCTTCGGTGGCAATTTGGTGGCGGGTACGCCAAAGCCACAGGACTGGCATATCACCCACAGAAACGCCGCTGAATCCGCGTGATCAGCGAACCGCCCACAGGTGTCCCGCCGAAGGCCGCCTGACTGCCATGCTTGGGACGGCAAAAAACATAGAGCCACCCCTGTTCATACCCCAAGGTGCAGAGCATAACTGCCCACTATTGGACCCTGGACTGGAGCCCAGTAGAGAGTAGGTCCAGGCTCCCATACTCCATTCCAGAAAGATGTGACAACAACAGGAGCCTTCCCCTCAGGGAAAAGCCCAGCTGGTGAAGACCTTGATCATTCAAGGACTCAGACCTCAAAGTGCCCCTGTTAAAGGGAAGGACGGAAAACTCTGGGAGCTGTGCGGAACAGGGGGCTGTGAAGGACAGGACTGTATTTTCAACAGGGAGACCACCTGCCACACCCCAACCTGACCACTAGGTGGCACTGTTGGTGGTTGCTCACCTTCTACAAGCAGCTATATGCATTACCCAGACATGGAAGTTAGTTATTATTCTAGGAATAAAATTTATCTGCATGGATAGTTGTGAGGCTGTGCAATCGCCACTGTGGGTCAAGGGGCTTAAGCAGACTTAAGTGCAGGCCACTCCCCTTAACCCATTGGCCCTGCCCCGAAATACCCTTTTGTTACCACTCACTGAGGGCCTATGAGGTGGTTTCTCTGGAGTTTTTGGTAGAAGCAGGACTCTTCCCATTTTCCCCATCCACCGGCTGGTTTGCTGGCATGTGCAGTAGACAGAAAAAGTTGACATTTCATTTTAATATACATTTTGCAGTGTATTCCCACTGAAAAGTGGTTCTTTTCCTTTTGGACTAGTTGGCTATGCAAATAATGGTACTAGTGTTCCTTTAATAAACTTTTCAGTCTCAAAAAAAGGGCATTATGAATAAGATATTCTGAGGACACTTACTTTTGTGAGAAGCCTGAAAACCTGAAGATACTTCTTTTCTTTTGATGCTCTTTTTTGAGTCTATTCTCCAGCTATAGTCTTTGATCCAACGTGTAAGAACTAATAGCCATAGTTCCTGAATAGAAAGTGTTTCCAAATATTCATTAAGACATTGATGCTGATTTCTATATATTCCACATACACAAGCTCAGTGGCCAAGATTGCTAGTTGTAATGGCCTCATGTTTTACTCATGATGTCTCTGACTTGAGGAGGCAGGATTTCCTTGTCTGGCACTGATAAATGTTGCTGAACGATTCTTATTTGTGTATCTTCATTGGGAGCATTACAAAGATTCACCATTTGGACATCTGAACGTGCACTGAGGGCTTTGTGGGACAGATCAGAACAGAGAGAAGTCATGATAAATTTGCAGTGAGGTGGTAATGTAGTGGATAATCAGGAATAATCTTTTACCTAGTAAAAAGATTTAGAGAAAGAAATATATATTTAAACAATAACTGCAAAGCTATGAACTGGCTCTTTGCAAACTTAGCTTAATACAGCCTCACGGTGAGGTGCAGATGATGCAATGCATTCTGCTGGTTATTTAGCCCCTTCTCATGCAACTTTCTCATATTTTCTTAAGAGCGTTATGGCAAATATAATAAAAATACTCCTTAGAAGTAATAGGCTACAATCAATTTTTTTGTCTTCATTGCCAGAATTAAAAGGCACAATACCCGTGGTTTACTAATGGGAGAGCAATCTTATAGTCCACTAGGGTGTGCTACCATCCCACAAATACCTCACAGTTGATTTCACAACATATTCTATGCTCAAGAGTTCAAATCACGTGTAGGCTTTTTGTTAGAGAAGTAAAGATTGGGGCTAAAGGACAACGGAAGCCTAAAAATGGACTTGTGGTTATTTCTAGCCAGAGATGCTTCAGAACTAAAATGTAAGAATTCTCCACTAGCAATACTTTCAACAAGCAGCATTTTGGTACTGTAAATGGATAGGGGTGAAAAGAAATCTTTCTTCCAATGTCATCATTACTCCATTATACCCACACCAAACTACTGATGCAATAAAAAAGGCAATTAATCTCTGAGTTAATTGCTCTTAAAAGAGACAGCTGAAATTAAATGTAAAATCAAGCCTGTAAAAGTCAAGTATGTGCTCTCGGGCCCTTCTAGTTCTTAGAGCAAGTGCTATGTGTCTCACTGGAAAGCTATAGATTTCACTCTCGAGTGCCTGTGGCTAATTTTTCCAATCATTTACACTAATGTAAATCTGGAGTAACCCTACAGGAAGTCAGTGGAGCTACACTGATCTAAAACTAGTGTAAATGAGAGGAGAATTAAGCCCCCTATCTTTAGCCTTTGTAGTTTGTGAGAATATCAGACTTTAAATCTATCACTGGCTCAGGACTGTATATATAGTCCATCCTAGCTCTTAGGCCAAAGATTTTTCTGAGGGGAGGAGGAGAAGGACTTTTAAAATGGCAGCCTTTTTAAGCTGTTCAAGGTTTTAGAATGTTAGAATACATTCTGGTGTAAAGGGTGTAATAAGCAGAGCTGCAGGTGAGCTGATCAAGGGACCAGGATGTCATTTGTTTATCACATGACTATTACCACCACATATGTGATACATATTCTTATATAATATATGTGAGCCTGGCCAAGAAGAGAACAATGTGGGAGTGTGACGGGGCATACCTACCCCACACCAGCCCCAAGAGGGCTAACTCTGCTTTGCAGGCTGAGGAAGCCCTGCCCCTCTGACCCTGCTGGGCATGCTCAGCCCGGAAGCAGCATATAAAAGGTAGCAGCCCAGGTCAGTCTGGGTTGGCTGCTGGAGGGGAAGGATGCAGGCTCTCTCCAAGGAGTTGCTACAGGCTGTGACTGTGGGACCACGGCTTGCAGCGTTCCAGACAGACTCCAGGCTGCCTGATGAGGCCCGAGAAGGGACCGCACCAGTGGGAGCCTGGCCATTTGAGGACCCCAGAGGAACTGGGGAGCTTAGATGAGGGGGAAAGGGTAAGAAGCAGCCCAGGGGACTTAAACTTTTTGCTGGTGAGTGAACTGGGGAACCAATCAGCATGTTTTGGGAGGATCCCTGCTGATTCAGTGGTCAGCATCCCCACTACCACCAGGGCCCTGGCTGGGACTTGGATAAGCAGGGAGGGCCTGAGTCCCCTTACTTGGGGTGCCACACACCCCTGAGTGGTGCCCCCACTTCCCCATCAGGCCATGCAATCCCACAGAGGTGGGCTGCTTTATGGATTCTGGCCATTGGGCCACTCTACCCTGACTGGCAGGGCTGCTTTATGGACTCTGGCCATTGGGCCATGCAGCCTTGAGTGGAAAGGTGACCTTATTGATGCCAGCCACTAGGCCATGCTACCATGTTTATAGTAGAGGTCATCTGCATGAGAACTGACTGGCTGCAGTACAGCTTTTTCCCTTCTTTTGGACCACATGTAACCCAATACCCCATAGTGGGGTGTACCTACCCTGTGACAGGGAGAGACTTTAGAATTCAAATATGGGAAAGCAGTTCAGGGATTTAGGTCTCAGTAATAATGAAAATGGATAAATCACACATGATCACATTGGTAACAGTCCCCACTAGGAGTCCTGTCTTAACAGCCTTGGGTGGTTGTGCAGCAGCAAACACAACAGAATAAAAGAGACATGATAAAGGTTCTAATGCTGTTGTGTGTTTCTAGCACTTAAGAGCTTTCCATCAAATGAAAACTTTTGAAGAACTTCATAATGACTCTGCTAAATTGAGTTTGTTTTATTGTTACTTTATTATCCCAACACCCCTCCTAACCCTCAGTTGTCTCTGTTTGTCCACCTGTTCTATCCTGTTTACTACCTAGACTGTGAGCTCTCTGGGGCAGGGTCTTTCTGTCCCAAACTGTCTTGCAGGTGACATTTTAACCTTCACTCAGTAATATAAGAGAGAATATTTGCTATATTTTTAATTAAAGGGGCAACTATGTAATGCCACATCGAGGTTGTGCTATACGAATAATAAGCTAGCTCCTCAGCTAGTGTACATTGGCGTAGTTCCACTGACTCCAACTGAGCTCTGCTGATTAATACCAGCTGAGGGTCTGACCAAGTTTGTGTCGATACCATGTAGAAATAGTGCTTCCGTTGCAATAGCTGCAGTTGCCCATCTGGAAAAACAAAAACAGAAGTGATACTATTCAGCAATATGAAGCCCTCTTTGAGCCAAATTCTCTGCTGGTGCAAATGGGCCAAACTTCATTTAAGTCAATGGAGCTGTGCTGATTTACAGAAGCAGCGATCGTGGCTATTTTTCTTTTCCGTCTCCTTCTGAACTAAAGCCGCAATCCAGCAAAGCACTTGGGTACATGCTTTACTTTAGGTATGTCAATGGTCTCACTGACTTCTATGTTAAGCATGCACCTAAGCGCTTTGCTGGTGCGAGGCCCTAAAGGAATTAATAAAAAAACAGGGCCAAAGCTGTTGTGGAGCCAAAACGACTTTGCAGCAGATGCGACATCTTGTGTGTTTGCCATGGTTGTCCAGTTGGACCTAAAATCTTTCAGTGGTAGAGAAGGATAGAAAACCTGATAACTCTTCTCTCATTTGAGAGAAATGATATTCTTTGTTACGTGTGTTCTCACTCTCTTGCACTACAGCATGACTGTAACATATTGCTGCAGGTGTAGATAACCAGCAATACCAAAACGTAAAGACGGGTTTTTATTTGTTTGTTTTTTAAACTTTGCATTGTGCAGTTCATGTATCTGTACTACAGTTATTCCCCTAGGTATAATTTATCTCAACCTCACAGATTTTACCTTCTGCATTGAGACTTCTGAAAGACCATTCGTTCCAGTCAGTTCATCTATTTCAGGGGTGACCAAACTGACTTGCGAGCTGCATATGGCTCCTTTACAGTTAAAGTACGGTTCGCAGAGCCCCCTATTCTCTGCCTACCAGACTGGGGAGGAGAACCTGGGGCTTCAACCCTGTGGTGGGGCTAGGGGCTTCTGCCAGAGATGACTGGTGCCTGCTGAGAGTGTTGGGGAGGCACAATTTAGAGGTTCAGCCCCCCCAAAAGCTGGAGTCACACACATCAGGCACATTCCCTTCTTACCCTCAGCAGCCCCCCCCACCCCCGCAGCTCCCAGATGTTAGCTCTGAAGGGAGGGGCCACTGCTTTAGCTCCCAGAGAGTTGCAGCAAAAGCAGCAGCTGTCCCTCAGCTCCCAGCTGTTTTCTACCGCCTCTCCCCATGGCCGCAGCTCTTAGCTTGCTAGCTTCTGCAGTTGCCGTGCAGGAAAAGGGCCCAGCAGCACCATGTGACCGAGCGGGGCCAGCAAACCCTGGCAAAAATCGGGGGGGATGTGCCCGCCCCAACATGTTGC